GATACACTAGGATTGTTACTGTTCTTGCTCCATTAACTGGTCAACTCATAGCGACTCTATGAACAATAGTTCTGAACTAACAGTTCTGAACTCGGCCATATTCTGAGCCAATCTCATGGTGTCCAACACACCTGCCCCCATTACCACAGTAACTGTGTCAATCCATCTCATCCAGTGTCTTCCTCTTATGAGCTGGCCTTCCACCCTTCCAAGCATGATGTCCTTCTGCAAGGACTGGCCATCCCTTCTGGCAACATAGTCAAAGTATATGAGAAAAAGCTTTAAAATCCTTACCTCCAAGGAGCATCCTGGTTTTACTCTCTCCAGTGCAGACCTGTTGTTGTCTTAGCAGTCCATGGTATATTCACTACTATTCACCAGCACCACAGCTCAAAGGCATTGATTCTTCTTCATCCTTAATCATTGTTCAGGTCAGGCACATCTTAGTTTCCAGACTGACATTGTTTCTCTACAGCACTCTGGTGAGATCCCTGCCAACAGATTTTTCCCAGTGCAAGTTGTCTTTATTTCGTGGCTGATGCCAAGACTATTAATTATGGATCCGAGCAGGTTGAATCAATACCTTTGAGTTGTGGTGCTGGAGAAGAGTAGTGAAACTGCAGTTGTTAACAATTTCAATCTCTTTGCTATCTATCATGATGCCAATTGGTCCAGTGGTGAGAATCTTTTTTTTTTTCTTATTGATGTTGAGCTGCAGTCCATATTGAAAACTGCAGTCCTTGACCTTCTGCAGCAAGTGCCTAGGCCCTCCTCAGTTTCAGCAAGCAGGGTTGTGTCATCTGAGTGATGCAGGTTGTTGATGAGTATTCTTCCAATCTTGATACAATATTTCTCCTCATCAAGTCCAGCCTTCTGAATGATCTGTTCAGCATGCAGATTGTAAAAGTTTGGAAACAGGACATATCCCTGACACACTCCTTTCTTTATTTTGGACCATGCACTGTTTCCTTGCTCTGTTTGGATGACTGCTTCCTAGTCTAAGTTTTGCATGAGCACAGTTGAGTTCTGGAATTCCCATTCTTCTCAATGTTAGCCACAATTTGTTATGATCCTTATAGTCAAATACCTTTGCTTAGTCACCATCTCAATTACTTTAGGCATGTGCCTAGGAGGGACTGGTTCTTGGAGAAGGACATTATGCTCAGAAGGGTGGAGGAACAGAGCAGGAGAGGAAGATCCTGGATGAAATTGATTGACATAGTAACTGGGGCAGTGGGAATAGGTGTGTCAGAATCAGTGAGACAGGCCAGGTTTCAGAGCTGCCGTATATAGGGTTGCTGTGAGTTGCAGGCGACTCGAGGCACATAACAACAGTCAATGAAACACAAGTAGACCTTCCTCTTATGCTCTTTTAGCTGAGATTCATATCACCTTGGTAGTGATGTCCCTAGTGCCATGATCTCTTCTAAATCTAACTTGTATTTCTGGTAATTCTCTGTTAATGTACTGTTTTCAGTAGGGCTTGGATAATCTTCAGCAGGATTTCACTTGCGAGTGATATTTATGATATTGTTTGTTAATTTCCACACTCTGTTGACCTCCTTTTTTGGCAATAGGAATCAATATGGATATCTTTTAGTCAGTTTGCCAGGTAATTGTCCTCCATATTTCTTGACACAACCTGGTGAGTACACCCAGGGCTTCATCTGGTTGTTAAAATATGTCAATTGGTATTCTGTCAATTCCTAGGCCTTATTTTTTTACCGTTCCTTCAGAGCAGCTTGAATTTCCTCTTTCATCACCATTGCCTCTTTTTTTAAAAATAATTATTTTTATTTATTTACAAAGTTTGAATACATTGTTTTTCACAAAATATCCTTCCCATTTACCATTGCCTCTTGATAATTTAGTCTGTGTATTCCTTCTATCTACTTTTGATGCTCCCTGGATCATTCAGTATTTTGCCCATAGCATCATTAAGTATTGCCCTTCAAGGTTGAATTTTTGTTCTTTGATTTTTTTCAGCTTGAGAAATGCCAAGTGAATTTGTCCCTTTTGATTTTCTAATTCTAGCTCTTTGCACATTTCATTATAATACTTTATTTTTCCAAGCTGCCCTTTGAAATCCTCTGTTCAGCTCCTTAACTTCCTGATTTCTTCCTGTTGCTTTGGCTTCTAAGCATTCTAGTGTAATATTCAGAGTTTCTTCTAACAGCTATTGTGGTAGTTTCTTCTCCTTTGTCTTTATAAAGACATTTTTGCATTCTTCCTGGATAATATTCTTGAAATCCTCACACAGCTCAGCTGGTCTTCATTCATTAGTGTTAAAGGCCTCAGTCCTGTTCTTGAGGTGGTTTTTAAATTCAGGTAGGATAGACTGAAGGTTAAAGTTTGCTTGTCGTGGCTTTGTTTCAATTTCTTTTATCTTCAGTTTGAACTTGCATGTGAGTAGTTGAGTTCCACAACCAGCACCTAGGATTAGTTTATGATAGTTAAGCAAGGTTTAAGACTTGAGATCAGTTGGTACATGGGTTTTCACTAAGCTGCATACATTATACCTTTTCTTTTTCATCTTATTGAAGAAGAAATGGAAAACATGATTTGTGCTTCATGTAGCAAATCCATTTTAAAATAAAATCTATGAGATCTAGTCATCACATGATTTAGACATAGGAAGTTTTGGAAACAGCATCGGTGAGATACATACCCTTTGAAACATGAATATTTCTAATATAAGAATAGTATGATACAGTTAGTACTCAAGGGGTTTCTTATTTTCCAATGAACATTTGGTTATAGTTGTATTTGTCCATGAAGATACTTCCCAGGTTTTATTTATGATTTTCTTTCTTTTTATTATTTGTAGATATAGTGTTTCTGTAGGTTTTAAATAAATGAGATTAAAAAGATATTCAGTGTTTAACAACACATATTTAGAGTCAGAAAGATTCAGGAACAAAACATATATTGTCCTTAATCTACCACTGACAATTTTTTTTTCTTATGAAAAGGCTAAGATATGTCTTAGAGCAGGTTCAGTCAGAAGGCTCTTTGGAGGCAAGAATGATGAAGCTTCCTCTCACATACTTTGAGCATGTTGCTAAGAGGGGCTATTCCTTGGTGAAGGACATGATGCTGGGAAGGGTGGAGGGTGGGCAAAGGAGAAAAATACGCTCAGCCAGGTGGATTGACACAGTGACTGGTTCTGTGGGCGCTTGTGCGTCAGGAAGTGTCAGAATGGCACAGGATAGAGCAGAGTTCAGATCATTTGCTCATAGGGTTGCTATGCGTCATACTCAACTCCATGATGCCTAATAACAACTTAGAAAAGGGAGGTGGGAGAATTGGAGGAGGTGGAAAAATGACATATACATAATATTTAACTTTAACATTTAAGTTGAGATGGTTTCAGTTTCACATCCCAAAGTTTGCTACAGTTCATAAGTTTCTTGTGTCTTCTTCTAGGATGTGTTTCTCTGTGTATGTGTAGTCTCTGACTGTTAACTGACAACATTGTTAGTTTAAGTCTGTCAGCCATTTGCTTGGAGAAAGATGAGCAGTTTCCTTAAATAAAATTTCCAGCCTCAGAATCCTGATGAAGGGTCACTATGAGTCAGAATCAACTCAGTGGTAGTGGAGATACATGCATAATGTATATATGAAGCTCTTGTGGCATAGTCCATAGAGGAGTTGCACTACTAATACAAAGGTAGCACCTCCTTGGTGGTTCAAATCCAACCAACCGGTTCTCTGGAAAAAGATGGACATTTTTCTCCAAATCTCCTGCAATCTACAACTTCTGAAAACTCACTGGAGGATCAATTGTGAGTTGGTTGCATCTTCACAGCAATGAATTTTTGAGAGACAGAGAGAGAGAGTGAGTTTGTCACACAGGAAGAAATTGCCCATCCTTTTCCCGCAGAGCAGCTGGTAATCTCAAACTACGAGCCTTCGGGATTGCCGCACAGCTTCTTACCACTAGTCTACCAGATTTCTCTGTGTGTGTGTGTGTGTGTGTGTGTATATATATATATATAAAACACACACATATATGTATATATACATACACAAAATCTTCATTTATATATATAACACATATGTGTATGAACAGATAGATTTCTTTTTTCACAAAAGGAATCATTTTATGTCCTCAAGGATATAGATTTCACCTATAGATCTCTTCCTCTAAATATCTATAGATCTGTTTTTGTTTGTTGTGTAATATCAAGTCAAAACTGACCCATAGCAGACTCTCCGGAAGTTTTTTGGAGGCTGTAAGTTATACAGAAGGAGGTTGTCCATTTTTCTTCTGCAGCAGGTGGATTCAAACATCATGCTTTTGTGTTGGCCTCACTATCCCTTACCACTAAGCCACTCGAGCTCCCTTTATATTGCCATTTGATGGCCTAGTGACAAGAAGCTGCACGGCAATCCCACAGACACATGGTTCGAATCCACTAGCTGCTCTGTGGGAGAGAGATGGGCAGTCTCCTCCCTTGCAGTTAGCTGCCTCTGAAAACCTGGCAAAGGGTCAGGTATGGGTGGGTTCCTACTCTGTGGTACACAACAAAAACAAGCAACATAGTACAATATGTCCGTTCTATGATTTCGCATTTGTTTTCCATCTTTTTTCAGATATGTGTTTTTGAATGCTACAAAGTGATAGGTGAATGGTTTTTAAAGCTATATATTATATATTATTGTTAACTTTTCTTCAAGACAAAACGTGTTAAGTATTGTAGAATATTTAAAAACCATAAATAATAAAGAAAAAGTATATCTGACATCATCAGAGAAAAGAACTAGAATATTGTTATTTTTTATGCCATTTTTTCTTTTTAAAAATAGTAAATAAAAAATTATATATATATATATGATTCCACTGTTACATAGTTCAGAATACTACTTTTTCATTGTATTTTTACTAATTCTTTAGAGATTCCTGATGAGTATAATTTTTAGTGATTGATTTATACTGTACTGATACTTGGACTAATTTGTAGTGTGAAACTTAATGAATTTGTATTTCTTAATTTTAGCTGGACCTCCATATACTTTGTATTTTGGTATTAAATTTTATGTAGAAGATCCATGTAAGCTCAAAGAAGAAATAACCAGGTAAGGTATCCAGGTTGCTTTTGACTTGTTACGTGTGTAGCATATACAAGACTTATTTAAAACAAAATAGAACTTAGCTATTTGAATGTGTGTTTACCTGCTTTTGGTAATGCATCTTCTTTTTTTTTGGTAATGCATCTTCTGTGAAGGTTAAATTAAAATCAGCATGACATTAAAGTAAATCAGTGTTTGATGATACATGTGTTTGGAAAAATGACATGAACTTGGGTGACATTGTGAAAGATTTTATGTCTGCTGTAATGAGATATTTCTGAGACATTATTGTTTAAGGTGTATTCAGCCATTTGTAGTCATGTAATAGTTCTCATTTGAATTGATGGATATTTTGATGCTTTATTTATGTAAATATAAACTTGGAAAACCAATCATATGATCATTTAGTTGAGCATAGATTAAATAATCAGATGCTCCATTTATCTTTTCAGGAAACTAAAAGATAATTCTTTCAGTATTGTGACAGGGCAGAAAAGATAAATATTTTACAATGTTTTACTTCACCAGTCAGAAATATTTTATTTAGACAAAATGTCCCATTGGTATTGATTATATTATTGAAATAATCTTAAAGTAGTATAGGTGTTTAAAAAAAATACATTCTTACCAGTAACTCAGTAAGGGAAGCCAGAGACCACAATTATATTTTCTAATTTATCAGAGTATAAGTTTTCATTGTATTCCAATATTATCAATTTAATCTCATCTAGTTCTATTGTGATGTTACCTCTCTCATTTAATAATCGAATTGTCTGTGTCTTCTCTCCTTCCCCGCTCCCCCTTTTGTTAAGTTTGCCAGTGGTTTGTCAATTTTATTGACCCTTTCGAAAAACCAGCTCCTGGTCTTACTGATGGTTTATTTGTTTTTCTGTTTTTGTATCTCATTGATTTCAGCTCTTGTCCTTATAATTTAGAGCACAATTATGTTAAGAGTAATTGAAGTACTTCATTTTTATGTTATCAGAAATTTTCTTTTCCTCAATTTCTTAAGCTATAAAATTGGAAATGTACACTGCAGGCGACTCAATGGCACATAATAACAGTAACGTACTATGACAGGTTTGGAAGCAGGAGTGGCATCCACTTCCTAAACAACGTACCTCCGGAAACTCTACGAACTTTAATAAATGTTGATAGTTGTAGAGGGGCGTTAGGCCTTTTGTTCATAGGGTTGCTATGAGTCATGCTCGACTCAAAGGTAATCAACAGCAACAACCACCTATATCCTAAGGTTTGTGTAAGGCTTGAGTGGAGTAATCTAAATATCTTATATTTTCCTTTGGGTTACGGCATATTGCTATTTACTTGCTAGAGTTGCCTTTGATTCATTGTGGTCTTATGGCTATCAGAAAAAAAACATTGCCAGGTGTCATAGTATCTGTTTGACCAGTGATATGTTTGAGTCTTCTTGTAACTGTCATATGAGCCTATCTTATTGAATGTTTCCTTCATTTCTGAATATCTTACACTTTTTCAAAAATGATCATTTCATTTTTTTATTTTCTTACCCTGGCAGTGCAGTCACGTTTCAACATAGGGGTTAGTTTCCAAAAGAGACTTGATTTTATAAGGACAGCAAAGGCCACACCCACTGTCATCAAGACAGTAAATCTTTTTAGAAGCAGATTGTCAATAATTCTCCTGGAGAATAGCTGGTTAGGTTGAATTACTAACCTTTGGGTTAACAGCACAATGCTTAATTCATTGTATCACTGGTTAGCCTGTGATATAGTAGTAAGCAGTGGAAAAAGACTAATGATTTATGTTGCACAATCCGGGCTATAGTGTTCGTAATTACATGCTATGCATCAGAGAGTTGGGCAGTAAATAGGGATGAAAGAAAGAGAATTGATGCCTTTGAGCTGTGGTGCTGGAGAAGAGTGTTGAATATACCATGGACTGCTAGGAGAACAAACAGGTTTGTCCTGGAGAAGGTGAAGCCGGAATGCTCCTTGGAGCCAAGGGTTCTGAAGCTTCATGTGACATAATTTGGGCATGTAGCAAGGAGGGACTTGTCCTTGGAGAGGAACATCATGTTTGACAGAGTGGAGGGGTGGCGAAGGAGAGGAAGACCTTCGATGAGATGGATCGATTCTGTGACTCGAGCGGTGGGAATAAGTGCATTTCGGATGGCTAGGTTGGCACAGGATAGAACAACATTTAGAGCTCTTGTACATAGGGTCACTATGAATCACAAATGACTCGATGGCACATAACAACAACAACATCAAACATCAGTTGTGAACAGAAATTTCTGCTCAGAATACACTCACCGCTCTTTAATAGAACACGTGAATTTTTATAGAACATAAAACTCCCCAGTCTAGTCAATCTGAATAATGTTTACTTAAGTATTACTGGTGCCACAAGTCAGCTTGTTCTCATAGTGACCATGTACAGCAGATTGAAACCCTGTCCCCATCCGGTGCCATCCTCACAATCTCTCCTGTGCTTAAGTTCTTTGTTGTCGTCACTGTGTCAATCCATGTGATTGAGGGTCTGTCTCTCTTTTGCTGACCCTTTGCTTTTCCAGGGATTTGTCTATCCTAATAACATGCCCAAAGTATGTGAGATGAAGTCTCACCATCCTTGCTTCTAAGAAGCACTCTGACTTCACTTCTCCCAAGATAGATATATTTATTTCTTTTGGCAGTTTTTTAAATTCACATTATTCTTCACCAGTGCCACAGTTCAAAGTCACCAATTCTTCCAGATCAAATAATTAAAAACAAGATGACGTAGTTGGCTTGAAGTTGCAGGATATAATTTCTAATTATTTTTTATTCATAAAAAATTTTTAATTTAGGTAATTAAATGTGCATTTAAATTATAATATGACTATATATTTTAAAAATATGCTTATGATAAAGTCTTTTGTTTGTGATTATGTGATAACTTTAAATTACAGATATAATAGACCTGAAAAAGAGAATCAATTATTTGAGCTATTATTGACAAAAACAAAAGAAAAAAAGATAATATGATTGTATATAATCTCTACAAGTATACAGTTTTTTTGAATATCATTATTGATGCACTTTTTTATACCTCTTTAAAATTTTAATCCACTCCTTTTACTCCTAAATAATGTAATTTATTTAACTATGCCCTTTGTGAATAAATGGCATCCCCAAAGGCACATTGGTTAGGTGCTTGACTGCTATCCAAAAGGTCACCAGTTTGAACCCACCAACTCTGTATTAGCTCTGTGGAAAAGTGATATGGCAGACAGTCAGGTTCTGTAAAGACTTCAGCTGGGGAATTGGTGGAGCTGTTCTACTCTGTCCTGTAGTGTCACTGATAGCAGTGTGTTGGATTTATGGATGCCAGTCTAAGTTGTTTCTTTCTTTTCTATTTTTTTTAAAAACTATTATAATTCTACTGTGAATTTGTGTGTGAAAGTGTGTAGTGATATTAGTCACAGCATGCTGAGAACACTGCGTATTTAATTTAAAAAATTGTGAGTGAATGTGATGTATATAAATTTCAATTTGTAAAAATGGAAAAGTATAGACTCCTAACAACCTGGAGTGCCTGTTATGCTTTAAAATGCCTTTTTTTTCCTAAAAAAAAAAGCTAAATTGAGGATTTCTGGGGGCCTATATTCCACTCTTACCTTTCAGCCAGTGTGTTAAACATATTATCTAAGAAATCTTACTGCTTGACAAGGTGGTTAAAAAAATAAATCTAATAAGATCTCTGACATTTCTACCACCAGTTGTAGGTGTTCTTTCTAGAATTATGCAGAATGAGTTTAATCCCTCTTCTCTTTGTCAACTTTTGAAGTAATCTGAGTCCTCATAATATCTGTTAAACATATTTTGAATTCTGACTCAAAATATTATGACATCCTTCCATGTATTATGTGTTCTTCACAGCACAGTATCCTGTGCAGATTTGATAAGCCTAACATATGGTTCAGAAGATAGGCCTTGGAGTCAGACAGGCTGCGGTTTGCATCCTTGCTCTGTCACTCACTAGTTATATTATTTTAAGAAGATTCCAAAGCCTTATAATGTTTCACTTTTTTCCAACTGTCAAAGGAGGATATATGTTAGATATTATTGCAGAGTATTTAATGCAGACTATTTACCATAATGCAAAAAGAATGAAGTGTTCAATACATGCCAATTATTATCCTACATTTTAAAATTATTCTTTGAATATTAGGGAATCAAGTTGGATAGATCTCCTGAGTTTAAATCAATTAGAATTTTTCTTAAAAAAAAACAGAATTGTTCATTTAACTATTAAACATCCTCCTACTGCCTCCTACTGGCTTGCATTTCTTTTGGGTTTTTCTTTCTTATTTTAAATGACTTTTTTACTTTCTTTATCTATGTTGTCAACCTACAACTTGCGTAGAAGATTGTTGACGTAGTCCAGAGGGACTTGCACTGCTAGTCCCAAAACAGTACCTCTCTGGTAGTTCAAATCCAGCACTGGCTCCTCTGAAGTAAAATGGGCATTCTCCTCCCATATAGTTTACAGCCTCATGAAAACCTGCTAGCGGATCAACAACTATGAGTCAACTCTGACTTGAATGGCATTGAGTTTGAGACAGTCATTTGTGTTCATTGAATCAAATCTGTTCTGGAGATAGTCTGTAGATTCAGTCGAGATATACTCAAGGCTATTCTTGGACTGTGACAATGTTTTCTATTTTTCAGCTTCATCTTGAACTTGCATGTGTGGAATGTATAGTCTATTCTGCATTTAGCCCCTGCCCTTGTTATGACTGAGGATATTGGGCTTCTCTACTATCTCTTTTTCCAGATGTAGTAGATTTGATATCTATATATTCTATCTGGTGAAGTCCATATGCACTTACTGTTTATGTCATTGAAAAAATGAATTTGTATTGAATATATCATTGGTTGTACAAAATTCTGTCATACACTGTCTGCTGTGTTTTCTGGCACCAAGCTTGTTCCTTGTTTCCAACATTCACAATCTGATCACCACTAATTTTCAGTACATCATATTTTTTTCAATTTCAGACTGAAGAAATTGGTTGTCGTTGTGTACCATCAGGTTGGAACCGACCCATAGCTGACTCTCCAGTGGGTTTTCGGAGGCAATTAATCACATGGGAGGAGACCACCCATCCTTTTTCCAAATGACAGCTGGTGGATTTTGGGGAGGTCTGATGGCCTAGTGGCAAGAATCTGCATTGCAATCCCGAAGGTGCATGGTTCAAATCCTCCAGATGCTCCGTTGGAGAAGGAGGGGCAATCTCCTCCTGGACAGGCCAATTTTGAAT